ATCGTGATTTTGATGTGATGTTGCAATCAGTTTGCCAGTATTTTATTGAAGATTTTTGCATCTATGTTCATCATGGATATTGGCCGGAAGTTTTCTTTTTTTGTTGAGTCTCTGCTGGGTTTTGGTATCAGGATGATGTTGGTCTCATAAAATGATTTGGGAAGGATTCCCTCTTTTTGGATTGCTTGGAATAGTTTCAGAAGGAGTGGTACCAGCTCTTCTTTGTACGTCTGGTAGAATTCAGCTGTGAATCCATCTAGACCTGGATTTTTTTTTGGTTGGTAGGTTATTAATTGCTGCCTCAACTTCAACCCTTGTTATTGGTCTATTCAAGGTTTCAGCTTCTTCCTGGTTTAGGCTTGGGAGGGTGCAAGTGTCCAGGAATTTATCCATTTCTTCCAGGTTTACTGGTTTGTGTGCATAGAGTTGTTCATAATAATCTCTGATGGTAGTTTGTATTTCTGTAGAATCAATGGTGCTATCCGTTTTATTGCTTTTTATTGCATCTGTTTGATTCTTCTCTCTCTTTTTTATTAATCTGGCTAGCAGTCTATTTTGTTGATCTTTTCAAAAAACCACCTCCTGGATTTACTGGTTTTTTGAAGGGTTTTTTGTGTCTCTATTGCCTTCGATTCTGCTCTGATCTTAGTTATTTCTTGTCTTCTGCTAGCTTTTGAGTTTTTTTTTTTTTTAATCTTGCTCCTTAGCTCTTTCAATTTTGATGATAGGGTGTCGATTTTAGATCTTTCCTCGCTTCTCTGGTGGGCATTTATTTCTATAAATTTCCCTCTAGACACTACTTTAAATGTGTCCCAGAGATTCTGATACATACTGTCTTCATTCTCATTGGTTTCAAAGAACATCTTTATTTCTGCCTTCATTTCATTGTTTATCCAGTCGTCATTCAGGAGCCAGCTGTTCAGTTTCCATGAAGTTGTACGGTTCTGAGTTAGTTTCATAATTCTGAGTTCTAATTTGGTTGCACTGTGGTCTGAGAGACTGTTATGATTTCCATTCTTTTGCATTTGCTGAGGAGGGATTTACTTCCAATTATGTCAATTTTAGAGTAGGTGCAATGAGTTGCTGAGAAGAATGTATATTCTGTGGATTTGGGGTGGAGATTTCTGCAGATATCTATTTGGTCCGTATGTTGCAGATCTGAGTTCAAGTCCTGGATATCCTTGTTATTTTCTGTCTCGTTGATCTGTCTAATATTGACAGTGGAGTGTTCAGGTCTCCCACTATTATTGTGTGGGAGGGTAAGTCTCTTTGTAGGTCGTTAAGAACTTGCTTTATGTACCTGGGTGCTCCTGTATTGGGTGCATATATATTTAGGATCATTAGTTCTTGTTGATGTATTGATCCTTTTATCATTATGTAATGCCCTTCTTTGTCTCTTTTGATCTTTGTTGGTTTAAAGTCCATTTTTTCAGAGACTAGAATTGCAACTCCTGCTTTTTTTCCTCTCTATTTGATTGATAAATCTTCCTCCATCCCTTTATTTATAGCCTATTTGATTGATAAATCTTCCGCCATCCCTTTATTTATAGCCTATGTGTGTCCTTGCATGTGAGATGGGTTTCCTGAATATAGCACACCAATGGATTTTGACTTTTTATCCAATTTGCCAGCCTGTGTCTCTTGATTGGGACATTTAATTCATTTACATTTAAGGTTAATATTGTTATCTGTAAATTTGATCCTGCCATTTTGATGCTAGCTCGATGTTTTGCCTGTTAGTTGACACATTTTCTTCATTGTGTTGATGGTCTTTACCATTTGGTACGTTTTTGAAGTGGCTGGTACTGGTTGTTCCTTTCCTTGTTTAGCACTTGTTTCAGGAGCTTTTGTAAGGTAGGCCTGGTGGTGACAAAATCTATCAGCAATTGCTTGTCCATAAAGGATTTTCTTTTTCTTTTGCTTTTGAAGCTTAGTTTGGCTGGATACGAAATTCTAGGTTGAAAGTTCTTTTCTTTAAGGATGTTGAATATTGGCCCCCACTGTCTTCTGGCTTGTAGGGTTTCTGCCAAGAGATCCGCTGTGAGTCTGATAAGCTTCCCTTTGTGGGTAACCCGACCTTTCTCTCTGGCTGCCCTTAGCATTTTTTCCTCCATTTTAACCCTGGTGAATCTGATGATTATGTGCCTTGGGGTTGCTCTTCTTGAGGAATATCTTTGTGGTGTTCTCTGTATTTCCTGGACTTGAGTATTGGCCTGGCTTGCCAGGTTGGGGAAGTTCTCCTGGATAATATCCTGAAGAGTGTTTTCCAGCTTGAATTCATTCTCTCCATCACATTCAGGTATACCTATCAAATGTAGATTATGTCTTTTCACATGATCCCATATTTCTTGGAGGCTTTGTTTATTTCTTTTTACTCTTATTTCTCTATTCTTGCCTTTTAATTTTATTTCATTGAGTTGATCTTCAGTCTCTGATATCCTTTCTTCTGCTTGGTCAATTCAGCTATTGAAACTTGTGTATGCTTCACGAGGTTCTCGTGCTGTTTTTCAGCTTCATCAAGCTATTTATATTCTTCTCTAAGCTGTTTATTCTAGTTAGCATCTCATCTAACCTTTTTTCTAAGTTCTTAATTTCTTTGCATTGAGTTAGCACATGCTCTTATAGCTCTGAAAAGGTTGTTATTACCCACCTTCTGAAGCCTGTTTCTGTCAATTCATCAGATTCATTCTCCATCCATCTTTCATCCCTAGCTGGTGAGGAGTTGTGATCCCGTGGAGGAAGAGAGGCGTCCTGGTTTTTAGTGTTTTCATCCTTTTTGTGCTGGTTTCTTCCCATCTTAGTGGCTTTATCTACCTGTGGTCTTTGTAGTTGGTGACTTTAGGATGGGGTCTCTGAGTGGTCATCCTTTTTGTTGATGTCGAAGCGATTTCTTTCTGTTTCTTAGCTTTCCTTCTAATAGTTAGGCCCTTCTGCTGCAGGACTGCTGGAGGTCCACTCCAGACCTTACTAGCCTGGGGATCACCTGCGGGGGGCTGCAGAACAGCAAGGGCTGCTGCCGGTTTCTTCCTCTGCCATCCTCATCCCAGAAGGGTGCCCACCGGATGTCAGCCTGAGCTCTCTTTTATGAGGTGTCTCTTTGGGTATATGGGGGTTGGGGAGTTGTTAGAGTAGAGAGTCTGTCCCTTATAGGAGCTAAAGTGCTGTTCTGGGAGTTCAGTTGTTCCTGCAGATCTGCTGGACAGGTACCTTTAAGTCTGCTGCAGCTGAACTCATAACCACCTCTTTTCCCAGGTGCTCTGTCCTAGGAAGGTCGGTTTTATTTATAAGTTCCTGTCGTGCTATTGCCTTTTTTCACAGATGCCCTGCCCAGTATGGAGCTGAGCTGCTGCGGGCTCTGCCCAGCTGCTGTGTGAACTGCCTTGGTAGTGGCAGACACCCTTCCCCACACAGAGCTGGATCATCTTGGGTCTAGCTGCGCTCGCTGCAAAACTCTCCATCCAGAGCATTTCAAATTGCTTGTTTTGTGGGAGTGGTAACTGCCGAGCCAGATCACCTGGCTCCCTGTCTCAGCCCCCCTCCCTTTCAGTTGAATGGGCTGCTCTGTCTCCCAGGCACTCCAGGTGCCAGTCAAAAGGGTGACCCAGACTTGTGTGAGTTTCTGTGCGCTGACCTGGCACCAGCTGAAATCACCACACTGAAATCTCATGGCACTTATTTGCCCAGGAATCTCCTGGTCTGAGGAAAGTGAAAACTTAGTTGGAAATGCGATGGGCACTCACCCTCTGTGCTGTTCTTGCTGGGAACTGCACTCTGGAGCTGTTCCTATTTGGCCATCTTGGATACTCCCTCTTAATTCTGCTAATTCTTAAACTTTAAACTCCTGGCCTCAAGTGATACTCTTGCTTCAGCCTCCTGAGTAATGGAGTCAAATTTATGTAACAGTTAACCTTTAAAATCTGAGACCAATTTTAAGGGGAAATTACCCAGGAGATTGTAAATTATACTAAAGAAATGGATGTGTTCTGATTACCTCCTAATTACCATAGTGTGGGCCTATTGATAGAAGATATGTGCCAATCCTCCCAGTGGATGCCTACAGCCATGAACAGTCCCAAGCCCTATACATACTATGTTTCTTCAGTCTGATAACAGAGCCACCTACTAAGTGATTAAAGGTAGGTACCATACACAGCCAGGATACACTGGACAAAGAGATGATTCACTTTCTGGGATAAAGCAGAATGGGGTGAGACCACTGGAGGTTTCATCACACTACCCAGGATGCAAGTTAAAACTTCTGATTTGTTTATTTCCAGAGTTTTGCATTTGATATTTTTGGACCTTGGTTATGCATGGCAACTTAAACTGTGGAAACCAAAATGGGGGAAATTGAAACCACAGAAAGTAAACCTGTGAATAAGATGGGACTACTGTATAGGGATTTTTTTTTTTTTTTGGCAAATATACTGTCATTAATTTTCTTTTATCTTTTAAAAATAAATACCTTGATGTATTTTAACTAGTATAAATTGACAGACCAATAAATCTATATAAAAATAATCTGGTTTTCAAACTTAACTTCACACTGGAATTACTTGAGGACATTTTAAAATACTGATACTGCAATCCCACTCAGAAATTTATAGTTCATTCATCTGTGTTCAGTGTAATCATTCAGGCTGGAGTGCAGTGGTGCCGTCTCAGCTCACTGCAACTTTGGCTTCCCAGGTTCAAGCAATTCTCCTGCTTCAGCCTCCTGAGTAGCTAGGATTATAGGCTCATGCCACCTGGCTAATTTTTGTATTTTTAGTAAAGCCAGGGTTTCACCATGTTGACTAGGATAGTCTTGAACTCCTGACCTTATCATCCATCTGCCTCAGCTTCCCAAAGTGCTGGGATTACAGGCATGAGCCACTGTGCCTGGCAGATCATCCCATCATTGCCTTTTATTAAAATCCAAAATATCTCAGTAAGTATAATGTGCATAAATGGTGTCAGTTCAATTAATTTTCATAAATTCAATCTACCTATGTAACCAGCACGCAAATCAAGATGCAGACCATATTCTGGATCCCAGAAGCCCTCTCTAATCACAGCTGAGACGCAAAAGGGTAATCACTATCTAACTTCTCATCACACAATTTACTTTTATGATGTGTGTGTGTGTGTGTGTGTGTGTGTGTGTGTGTGTGTGTGTGTGTGTATGCATGTATGGATGTATATACCACCTGCATGGTCGTTTAGTATGTATTCTTTTGTTTCTGGCTTTCTTTCAGTGTTGGGTTTGTGAGACTCATTCAAGTTGTCATGTATAATGCAAGTTTACTTACTCTCATTGCTGGTAGTACATTATTCCATTGTATGAATCTTTTACATCCTGTCTTTCCAGTTTACTCTTGATGGACCTTGGTGTTTTTAAAAGGACCTAACTGTTTTTAAAAGCTCAGCAAATGATTCCTATGTGCTGTTTCTGAGGTTGCGTATCACCAATATAGTCATAAGTGAACATAAAAAAACTAAATTGAATTGAGATTCCATTAGGCTTCCATGAAATTTGTGGCAGTATTTTTAAACTGGCATAATTCCCATTTTTACTTATCTCTAGTTGAAAATTACCAACATATTTAGCCAGGGTGTGCTGGAGCTAACATGTAGCAGCTCATGAAAGCTGAGTGTTAGTTTCAGGAATTTTGTAAGCAAGTTGTTTAAACCCAAACATTATTAAAAATTAAATAAATATCCAATTAAAATAATTATATTCAAAATTCAATAAATATTTAGAATTTATTACTTCCAAATTATTTTAGAATATTTTACTATTACTTATGGTCTTGAGGTTGTTCATATCTATTGTATTTGTGTGGTGGAAATATCATATCATGGAAACTACTGTATATTTCTTCCCAAATTTTCATGAAGCAATGTCATGTTATTATCTTGGAATTACTCTTGGGGAGTATTAACAACATAGCAATTAGCAAATGCTACAAAGAAGGTCCTCATTTAGTGTTGATGCTGAAAGAGTTTTCAGTGTTAGATATAATTTTTATGACAGAGAGAAATAGTCTAAGATTATATCACATATCAGGTGAATTGTAACAAATGTTTATTGGTAATAGAGTTAATATTGGGATGCAATTCCAATTGTTGGTCATGGTCAAATTGCAACTGAAGCTTAGCTAGGGATATAAATGTCCAGTAGAACTTAGCAAAAGCTTTCGATGAGAATCAATTGACTTTATGGAATTTATAATAAATTATGATATTAATTTAATTTTTAATTGTGCGCTGTACATCACATCTATTGCATTGATAAATTTAATAATAAACATGTATATACGTATATATACATTTATATGCACAGAAACATGTGTATCCATATTCTTTTCAAAGACATGGTTGTTAAATAACTGCTAGCATGCTGCTCTGTTGAGCCATGTTTATTTTTTAGCCATTTTTTATTAGTGGAAGTATGCCATGTTTTGCAGATTCATTGAGTACAGAAAGCAAAGTAGAGAAGTAAGTACCCAGGCCCCATGGTGCCCTCAGGAATACACACATACACACATAAGTTCTGTACACATATATGTGTGTGTATACATGTTCTATATATATATGATATTACACTAAATGACATTGTAATTGTTTTTGCCTTTTTTTAGCATTAATTTAGATGTTGATACTTTGTTTATCCTACAAAATTATTACTAAATTGAATAACAAAGGTGACATATTAGTACTCAGTTTAAAAAAAAAAAAAATCTCAATCTGAAGATACTTAATAGGTTACCAGGAAACAGATGAAGAGTTTCTTTCCTCCCTCATAAAAAATCACACTTGGTTTCCTGAACCTTGCAGCTAACAACAGGTGCTGTCTGCTCACTTTGCCAGAAGTTCACAATAGAACAGATTGGGTACATACAGAACTAAAAACAACATTTGAATAAGGAACAAAACCCTCTCAAATGTTCTGACCAGCTCTATAATCAGTTCTTAATATTGAGCCTAGAAACAATAACAATTTTTTTATGTCAAAAAGGGCAAGGAACTTTGTTTTGTTTTGTTTTACCTGTATTTGCACACATGAGAATTTCAGAAATTACTTGTAATCAAACACAAAAGTGCTACATTTGAGGTTGTACAGCTCAAAAGGGAGGGGGTGCAAAACCCCCTTCTTCTTCACAAAAGTCTTATTGAGAATCACCAATCACAGAGGGAGGAGTTCATTCTAAAATTAAATCTGTGTGGCTACAGCATCCCTTAATAATTTCCAGTTGTCCTTTCCACTTTGTCCTCTTTCTGTAGCATTGCTAAAGTCAATCTGAGGCCAGGGCTTTAATTTGATATATCTAAGTTCATGGCCATATATTTTTTTACTTGCCCAAACACTTAGTCTCTCTTAAATAGAATTGACGATTTGTCAAATGACTTGTTGTTGCCTAATGACATATCTGGGGAAGCTGGATCTTGCTTTATGTTTTAGAACACATTTCCAACATCCAAAGCACATGAGAATTGATGGCACAGATGGACTTGGAGAACTGGTTTCAGAAATGCCATCTTCTACTCAACTGCCAGTTTTTCTGTTTATCATATAGCTAGACAGTTTGACACTTCGTATCTTCCCATTACTTATATTTGTACAACATCAAAATCACTCCAAATGAGACATGCAGGAACAGAAAAGCAAACCAAAGAGCATTCATACTGTGGGAAATCATCTGTACCTAGGGCCTGGACTGGCAGCCTTTTGTTTTCTCCTTGTCCCTTGAAGACAATGGAATTATAATTCTTGTACCTAGAGATTATAACAATCCTTTCCAGTTCTGATACTTAATGATTCTAAGATGAGAAGCATTACACAATTTTATGATTTCTTAATAGTCCTGATAAAAGAATATATGAGGACAATGCAGCTTGTTTTAAATAAAAGGCACTTTGGGACTCTTCTGTGAATTTTATTTATCCATCTTATGCTATTCCCTTGGGTAATTATGAGTGAATTGCTCTGTGCTGTTCTTTCATCAAATATTTTCTGACTGTTATTTTGAAATTATTATCAAGAGCATCACTGAAGGAGCATAGTCACAAATGGATAATGCTTATTAAACTCTAATGTTGTATTTGAATGCCACTATTCTATGGCTAAGGTTATGCTATACCCTGATATGCAAGCCTTCAAAGCTCATTGATTTGTCTTGTTTTGCCAACCAGGCTGGAGTGCAGTGATGTGATCATAGTTCACTGCAGCCCCCAACCCCTGGGTTCAAGAGATCCTCCTGCCTTGGCCTTACAAGTAGCTGGCACTGCAGGCACATGCCACCACACCTGGCTAATTTTTAAAATTATTATTACTTTAGAGATGAGGTTTTGCTGTGCTCCCCAGGATGATCTGGAACTACTGGATTCAAGTGTCTTCCTACAACAGCTTCCTCAGTTGCTGGGATTATAGGCATGAGCCACTGGGCCCAGCAAAGCTCATTGATTAATCTGCGTGTCTGTCAATGCAGTCAATCAGTAAATTCAGTGAGATACTCAGACATTCTAAACAAACTATTAATGTGGGGAGACAACCTGAAACACATGGTTAGCAGCTGATGTCGTAAGAACATAAACACTTAACCAATCTGTAAACAATGGACTCATCTTGATTTCTGCTAGTGTTCCTTTTACTGGTAAACATTGAAAATCAGGGAAAATCTGCAACAGGAAAAAAGAATTTTTACTGGACTGACAACCTTGGCTGAGCCAGAACTATGTTTTCCAAATTTCCCTTCCCTATTCAGTTCTGGATTAGACATGATCAAAAAGGAAATTTGTGTGAGATTTGGAAGGTGGAAATGATGCTACTCTGTGAAACCTGTTTGTAAGTTTGCCTGGTGAGAAAGAGACATAGATTAGCAGAGAACATTCCGCTGCTTCCTTCTTCATGTCCAGCTTTTTGTCCAGCCACTGGCAATACTGACCAACAGTGACCCTAGGCCTACTCCAGCTTTAGAGACAACAGTTCACAAACACTTCCCCTTCACAAGCCCACTCTGGCAGCTGAACTTGCTGGCTTCTTTGAAAGATCTGACTTGACCACCTGCTTCAGTGCTCAAGAGGGCTTGTTGGCAATATCGCTGTGATTTTTCGTTTCTCACTTTTGTACCGTCTTCTTCTCTTACAATTATATAAGGTCATCTTCCTAAAATGAATCCTCTATTCCATATGATTCATAGTACTTTAGCTTTCCTGATTGAACCTTAACGAATACTTGTACAGTTCAAATATGTCATACATGACAGAAGAATGATATCCAAATCACTATACTTTGGTTTTTCCTGTGATAGCTGGTGAATATGAAGGTTTTGGAGGGACTATAGTTTTCATGTACAGTGAGATTAAGATACTGAATACATTCTTGATATATATTAGGACTCAGGAGCCTATGGAACTTGGCATAGTTATTTTTTATCTCTTCCTCTGTATGGTGAAGCCTGGTACCTTCCTGTGCCATTTTGTTCTCAGTTCTGCTTACAATCCAGACATCTTTTGAACTTTACAGAATCCCCAAAAGCCAACTTCGGCCTTAAGTCCCACAATACTGTGTTTTACCTAGGGAGCATGTTAATTCATGCATAAAAATTAAGGACTCAAGGTACATTAAATCACTGTACCTCTGAGTGGATTTTCTTGTGGTTTAACCATGATTTTGTGCTGTAACCCAAATAAAGAAAAATGCTTGCAAGTGTCGGAGGGTTTTGGGCTCTAATAAGGTAACAAGGATTGTTTTAGAGAAGATGCACGAGGAAGGGGAGGTATAACTTATGAGTTGGAACATTCAGTGCTCATTTCTCAGTGCATTGCTTAGATCCTGGCATGCAGGGGTAGCTCATTGGCATCAACTGTTCTAAGCACTGGCTAAACAGGAGACCAGCTCTGAGGCAGAGTCACAAATACATGCAGTAAGGAGTTCTCTTGGGAGTGGCGAATGTGGAGGGGCTCTGGGTGGGAAATATTTTAACCTCAATTGTTTGTTTGTTTTTGAGATAGAGGTTCACTCTTGTTACCCACGCTGGAATGCAGTGGTGTGATCTCTACTCACTGCCACCTCCGCCTCTGGGGTTCA